TGAGAATGTTGTGAAACAACTCCAACGATCTCGCACGATTCGTTGGTTGATATTCCTTGAGTAGCATACAGTAAGCTTCCATACCGTTCTCCTCAGCTACATGCTTTACAACTCGGTACGGCCTTCCTTTAGTGTATGAACAAAGAACACTGTACAGGCGTCTGCTTGTTTCCTTTGCTTCTGCAGACATCTCAGCCATCTTCACTTGCTTATCATCTTTTAGGTTCCTTTCGGCGATGTCCATGATCTTCACCATGTTGGAATCCACTGCTCCAAGCCAGATCCGCATCCTGTTCCTGAACTCTGTCCATCCACTATTCTCTTCTTGCCATGTTCCTGGGGAAAATGCTTCGGGGCTTTTAATCAGCTTGTGCAACTCCACTTCTCCAGGCTTTCTTTGTTCCTTTACTGCTTTCTCCAGAGATGCTCCTATCTCCTCAAGTGTCGTTGCTGCATTCGTTTGGGCGTCTGCCAACGCTGTTTGCGCTGTCTTCTGCTGTTCCTGAACTGCTGTCAGGGTTTCCTGGAATGCTTGTGTAAGTCCTGCTTCTCTTTGACTTCCTGAAGCTGCTGAGTTCCTGATCTCCTCTGCTAGTGTTTGTATTCCTTGCAAAGTCTGTGCATTGCTCTCGGCAAGTGCCTTCAATGCATCCTCCATTCCTTTTGCTGTTTCAAGGTTGCTGTACACTAGTGCTGCTAAAAGTAGCGACTTGCACTGCTTCCTGCACACTGCTTGTGCTCTCCTTTCTCTTCTTGTCTTCCTTTGGTGCTTTGAGCGGTTGCTTGCTCTTGCGAAAAACACACTAGAATAGTACGACAGGGTGATCCAAGTAATCAGTCCCATTGGGGTTCCTAAGAACACTGCTATGCGAATTCCTTGAAATACAACTCTGTTGGAAATGACTTCCTGAACTATCACATGCACGACGTCGTGAAACTTCTTTCCTACAGTTGCTAGCTTTTCTACGAAACTGTGAACATGTTCCTTTACAAATTTCCTCAGTACTTCTCGCTGTTGTTTTACTAGGTACCTAGGGGCGTAGCCTGACTCAAGGCTCTCACTCTCCTGGTTCTCGGTGTTCTGGTCGCCGTTCCTGTTCTCTTCCGTGTAGTACTCGCCGGTCACGCTAACGACGCTGTAGAGCTCATTCATCACTTGGTTCGCGCACAACAAAGCGTACGGTACCATGACTTTTCCTATCTCCACATAGTCCTTAATCGTGTACGCGTTCGTGTTCCTGATCGTGTTCACGTTGGTGCCGTCGGGGTTCACGCTGCACTCGTTGTAGCCTTGCTGGTAGTACTCGCCGTACACGTCATAGTTCCTGTAGCGGTTCCGGTGCGTATTGGGCTTCCTCCTGCTCGACCACACTGCCATGAGCTCGCTCTCGTCGCTCTCCGCGTAAGTGAGTTCCTTTCTCCCACGGCTCGCATCCTTGGAGGATAAGACGTCTCCAAGGGCAAGTTCTTCCTTGGTCTCCACATTGTTGCCAAGGGCCTGCCACGGTCTCACCGCCATACTTCTTGCTCCTGGGACCAAGATCATCCCGCACAAAGTTGCGAGGCTTCCCAGTGCGAAACCAACCAGCAGCACCATACATGCTGCCAAACCGTAGCACTTCATGTTCCTTTTCTCTCTCTCTGCCACCAACACTCGGTCGGGGTAGCAATCGCTGCAAGCGTCAAAGTCTCGCGCGTTTCCTGCTGTCACGTTGTGGTTGCGAAGGTGTCCACAACCTCTGCGGTGGTACTTTGTTCCTGAACGGACTGCGATCCTGAGCGTGGGCATGTTGAGCACTGTCTCCGTCTTCTTGGTGATCTGCTCATTTGCGCGCATCTGCTTCCATCCGGCAACGAGGCAAACTGCCATGGCGCCGAGCATCATGGTTCCTACGGCTACGAGTAGCATCATCGCTGCCAAGGAGGTTCCTGGAGGCAGCTCCGCTACCATGTTAAAGAACGGGCTTCACTAAGGGTTCCTACCCACAAAGACTGTCGGACACTTTTGTTCCTGGGCACGGTGTGTCCTGGGGTCTTGAGCCTGCACGTCGCGTGTGCGTGACGGCTGTTCCTGTACATTAACTGTACTGCACTAGCTGTGTTACTGTTCCTGGCAGAATGTTTAACAGAGAGAGAGAGAGAGAGAGAGAGAGAGAGAGAGAGAGAGAGAGAGAGAGAGAGAGAGAGAGAGAGAGAGAGAGAGAGAGAGAGAGAGAGAGTCAGAGAGAGTGAGAGAGAGAGAGAGAGAGTGTGTGTGTGTGTGTGTCAGTTTTTTCAAAGCTTCGGGAGTGCTTCCGAGAGCCATGATGAGGATCATGTTACTTTTCCTACTTTGTGCCAAGCTGCTGTGGATCAGTGCCTGTGTCAGGGGTGATCGCGAGGAGTTGCACACTTTGAAGCGAGTACGACAAGCAGCTAGCTCCAGCTCAGCAGGAGCAAAGAGTGCTCCTAGTGCTCCTTCCGGAAGTGCTACCGATGCAAACCCCAAGAAAAAATTGCGAAGCAAGCTTACAGAGACATTTTTGTCCAACAAGTTATCAGCGAAAGACGTTTTTGAGTTGGCAGAAGGAGCTACTTCAGAGGCCAAAACATCAATCCGCCACATCTTCAGTCGCAGATTTTGCAGAAGCAGGAGCAGGAGGGCGTCATCCCGGCAATTTCGCCAGAGATATCCTGGCCAAGTTGGTTCGTGAGAGTGCCCACGAGCTCTTTTGGCACATGGTTCCTTTCCAGGACCCCGACACCAAGGCAAGGGTCGAGTGGGAGCACCCATTCTTGTTGCCGCACGAGCTGATCGATGGCATGATCCGGGGCAATGGGTTAGATTTTTTTAAGATGCCTACAGGAGCTGCTGCATCAAAGCTCCTTGCGAGTGCATGCGGGAAGCTCGGCTTACAAGTGGCAGAGACCATTGCACTGGGTTTGCATGGGGATGGGGTGCCATACACAAAGAAAGAAAGCTTGGAAATCATCAGCTTCAACTTCCTCGCGATGCCCTCCGGAGATCGTGTGCCCTGCACGGCAGTATCCAAGAAGTTCGCAACGGCTGAAACCTGGACCGTCATCATGAACATTATTTCTTGGAGTTTGCGTATGCTTTTTATGGGTGCTGTGAGCACTAAACTTCCCGACGGCTCTGGGTGGCTAAGCAGGGAGAAGCGAAAATACTTCCGAAAGCACGGTGATCAGTTGGCAGGGCGTGCTTTATTATTGCAGGTACGTGGGGATTGGCCGTTCCTTCGGCAGTTGTTCCAATTTCCAAGCTGGAGCTCGGAGTCGATTTGTTGGAAGTGCCGTGCCATGAATGTGGACACGAGTAATCCCCTGAGCTTCCGGATCTGCAATTCTGGAGCAGCGTGGAGGCGGAATCGACTGTCTGATGTTGATTTCCTGACCGAGCTGCGTGCAGCAGGAGGTTCCCTGTCACCTCTTTTAAGCCTGCCCGGCTTCGTGCTGAGCTGTGTCGTCCTGGACTGGCTACACATCGTTGACCTGGGTGTCGGTGCCGATGTCATAGGCAATTTGTTTTGGCTCCTGATCACATCAAATGTCTACTTTCCAGGAAGTAACAAGGAGCAGCGTTTGGTACGGCTATGGCAGCGAATCCGGGATTTTTATAAACAATTTCGCCCTCCTAGTGTTCTGGACAATCTCACCCTGGAGATGATTCGCCGAGAAGGGGCCAGCAAGAAACCCAAGCTTAAGGCGAAGGGAGGCGAATGTCGTTACCTCGTACCATTTGCTTTCGAGATTTCCCGTGAGTTCATGCAGGCGTACCCTGAAGATGGCACCATGCGTTTGGTTGCAGGTCTGTTCGCTTTGCTATTTCAATTGCAAAGCGTATATCTGCCGTGGACGAGGTTTTCGATCACGAGAAGGCTGCTGAAGAATGCCGTCGCTTTTGCGTACTTTACCAAACTCTTCAAGAACAGTCACCCTTCCCGTTTTGGCAGATGAAACCAAAGGTGCATTTAATGGAAGAAATGCTTGAATACCAGACGGAGCAGCATGGAAATTTCAGGGACTATTGGACCTATCGCGACGAGAGCTGGTGCGGGTATTGGGCCAAAGCTTCCAAGAGACGAGGCGGTAAGAACACCTCCTCCACCAATGCAAAGAATTTCTTGCTGCGGTTTTTGGCCTCGGATGCTCTCGACGGAGAAGCTCTGTAAAAAACGTTTAATGGGTTTATTTTGTCGCTCTTAAATATATATATATATATATATATATATATACATAAATATGTAAATATATAAATATATAAACATCTATATATATACATATAAGAAGTTGTTGTGCATTGTGTCCTTCTGCAGCCATTTCCGCAGCCATTTTTCGGCCCATTTATTTTCCACGGAGCTTTGCTTTATTTCTAAAGTAAGATTCCAATCACAGTATTCACAAACTATATGGGAAAATCAAAGTATATAAAGAATAAGAAAATTGCTCAAGCAGATGTGGCGCTTTTTCCTTCCGGCAAAGCCGAAGGGGGAAGTCGTGACATCCCCGCACCGATCGATGGCGAACACGAGGATCGCCAACGAACACCCCGGGAGTGGAGGGAGGGACAAAAATTTCCGGCCCTTTGGCCAGGGAGCAGCTACCCACCCATCCCACCCCTGTCTCGAGGCGGCGCGGGAAATAAAAGAGATGAACTCAGACGATTCAAAGCATGCATTCATGCCATGAAATGTGGTTCAAAATAAAGCAAAGGCGTTTTGAAAACTTCGCAATAATTTTCAAAACTCTCCTAGGAAAATAAAGCTAGTAGAGGCAAGCCTCATGTGTCGCTTATTTTCCACGGAGCTTTGCTTTATTTCTAAAGTAAGATTCCAATCACAGTATTCCCAAACTATATGGGAAAATCAAAGTATATAAAGAATAAGAAAATTGCTCAAGCAGATGTGGCGCTTTTTCCTTCCGGCAAAGCCGAGGGGGGAAGTCGTGACATCCCCGCACCGATCGATGGCGAACACGAGGATCGCCAACGAACACCCCATTCACTTAAGAAGGAGATCAATCGTGGCATTGCCTTTGATCGGGCATCGAGGCGACACTCTGCACACCTGCCCCCTGACTGGAAAGATTGACTTAGCTCTCGAAGGAGGATCGGCCGGGTTACTTGCACTTGGAACGCGGCTAAACCAAGGGAGCATCGCTTCAGCGTCGCAGCTCTCAAAGATCAGCAAGAGTTGCCTCCACAAAGGGTCTTTTGAAGAGCCTTTCACCAAAGAGGCCAACACTCCGGAGTGATCCACATACATGGTCACCCTTTGCATGTTCAAGTGCTTCGCCCACGCTTCTCTCGCACATACCACTGCATACATCTCAACTGGGCCTATCAAATGCCTTTTCCCGAGAGCCTCCCAGCTCTGTACAACGCTCAAAGGGATAGCACATGCAAAGAAGAAAGTGCACCACGCGCCGTTGTCGAAATGGTACAAGACTCCTCCGACAGTGGCGGGGTGAGTTTCATTCGTCGGCTCGTACGCTCCATCTGTGAAAATCACAGAACGGCGAGACCCCACACAGGCCGGGACTATCCTAGGGGTACCCCCAAGAACCCGGGACCTAAGATTACAAAGGGCCTGCACAGCCGTGGCATCAAGGGTTTTGGCCTGAGAACTCATCGTGCACGCCCTAAGGTCGGCCAGTGCCAATCTGCCCAATCGCCCGTGCAGCTGACCCTCGGCAAACTGGAGGCGACCGAACAAAGACGGCAGAGTCTTCGGATCAAGATGGCCCGCACTCAAGACGGAGTCCACCGCCTCAGCGATGGCAGTAGCACGTTCGGGCTTATTCCCAATCTTAACTACCCCAAAGCTACCAAGGTCAACCCGAACGCCTAGAAGTTCGGCCTCATGGCTGAAGGGAAGATCCTTATCTTCTGCCCAGGCGAAACCCAGCAGGTCCAACGCGGCTCTGACAGTCGACTGCGTGTTGTTACAAAGCGGCAAGACCTCTAAAACCGGGTAATCGTCGAAGTAGTTGCAGGCGAGCACCTGCAACGCAATCAGAACCCTCTGGAGCAATCTTGCAACGCGATTGAATGAGACCACCGACGAGGTGGCCCCAAACAGAAGGGTTCGGCTCTCGAAGCCAAACGCAAGCCTCGAAACCGGGTCCTTGATGGCCACTATGCTCAGACAGCGGTCTCGTGGAGAAACCGCCAACTGTTTATAAGCACTCTTCAAGTCCACTGTTTTCAAGCTCGGCTGAAGCGCATCGGGTTTCAGGGCCCTCCAGAAAGAATGCACCGGAAAGCGAAGATGGTCACCGTCCGACAAAGGGATGCTCACCTCGCCTTTTGCAATGAAGATCTTAAAGAGGGTGATCGCAAGCCAGACCAATTCATCAAGGGCCCTCAAAGAAATCCGATCGGAAACAGCATAAGCGCAGTTTACAGAGTTCTCGGCCAAATCGTCTATCGACCGCGTCTTGGCTTTTTGCACAATGCCGAACCTCCGCACTGGAAGCCAGCCTTCTGGATGACGGGCTTGCAGCTCGTCCCACGAGTAAGGCCCGGTTAGCCACTCCTTGGCTAGCATCTCTTGCTGTGTGGAGTCCCACACTTCCCGAGCTAAATCATCCACCTCCGCGTTCGCCACCTTCGCCCACAGCGCAGGCCTAAGGAATTTGGCATGCTGCACAAGCTCTGCCCTTGTCATCAGAGCCGGTTTTCTATCCACATCGAAGATGCCAGAAGGACTCGACTCCCCCACTAAAGGAAACCCATGCTTGAGGTGTTCGAAGACTTCAGTGTCAGGCCAACTGAAAGACGATGCAATCTTCTCCAAAAGCAAAATGTTCTTGCCCTTCATAACAGAAGCTACACCAGGATCCATGGCAGCATGCAGATTTGCTTCGGCACCAGCCAAATCGCGTTTCCAAGAAGTCCACTGCTGGAGCAAATTCAGACGGTGTTTCATCACACCAACCGGGCCCTCTTTCAAGGTAAAAGCCAACGCTCTCAACATGAAGTCTGGGACTGCCACGCACAAGTCGAAAGGATGATCGATATGCAATGCCTGAGCCACAAACTCTTGTTCCGTGCGGTAAATGCCAAAGGTCACTGCTGAAGGCACACCTGACAGGCTTCCGACCTGTTTCGCACCGACGACCCCCCGATCACACACAACGCGAAGAAGCCGGGAGCCAGGAGGGATGGACCCTACGGCACATGTGAGATTGCCTTTATTATCCAAAGGAAGGGGCCACGGGAACTCACGGACCGTGGCCTGGCACTTAAACTCGGCGATCTGCGGCTGGAATTTTGACAATCGAGGCTGCCGCCCAGCGGCTGCGACGGCAGAATGCCGCGAACTCTGCAGTGGCACAGCGTGCTCAAGTAAGAGGCAAACAGACTGGCCAACCGCCAGCTGCAGGAGGCCAGCGAACACATCACAGAATTTGGTTGTGTACAAGACATCTGGTGCAAGGGAGCCCGCAGCGTGGGGCCCGGGGCGACAACGACATGCTGGCACCGGCATGCCAGCCAGCGCGGCCTGGGTTGTGCACAGACGCATTTTGACCGGACAGGGGGCCCCGTAGCAACCTGCACAGAAGTCTACGCAATGGAGGTTGTCGGGCAAGTCGAGCTGTTTCCACAGGGCTGACGCCAGGGGATGCAAGACACTCCAATGCGAATCAGATGCAAGCATCTAGAGTTTGGCGAGGCGAATGGTTTGCCCGGCGCTAAAAGTAGCCTTAAAACAATCCTTGGTCGCAGGAAAGAAATGCACGTGAAAAGGGGCGTCTTGGCTGATGACAGTCTGCACAAAGGAGAAACCCGACTCAGTTTCAATGTCCACAGGGACAAGGTGAGTGTGCACTCGCCCAGCGGGGCGAGAATGTTCAAGCGCTATGATTTGGAATCCGTCCCGCCGCACCCGAGCCGGCAGCAGCCCGGACCCACACTTTATCTCGACATAGAGAGCAGAACCGGGCTTCAAGGGACTAGCAGGGTCGCTCACAGGTTCCTTAGGGTCAACGGCAGGGACAACCGAAGCGGGCAAGGGCCTAAGCGACTCCTGAGCTGCAGTAGAGGTCAAGGATGGCGGCTGACGAGCACACACTGCTGCAGGCGCCAACCGCGCGCCTTCAGGCGCGCATTCCGGGACATCAACATGACACTCGCGGAGAAAGTCAAGATGTTCCTTGCATAGGGATTCGACATGACGGATTGTGAATGCAACCAGCAAGACTCTACGGCCCTGCCACGCCTCGGTGTAGTGCCAATTGTGTCTGGCATTGAATCGGACAGGGCCCTTTGCAACCTGCAAGCGAGAGCCTCGGGCACCATTAAGGTCGGATACATCCCGACCGTTTTCATGCTCCACAAAGATGGCTCCACCTGAGAATTCAGTCAGTGCAATCGCCAAGTTATGCAAATTGGCATTCCACTGATCACGATGGCGCTCAGTGCGAACATCCTCGAATATATTTATTGAAGAAAATTTAAACCCCGGTGCACGCTGTCTCACAAACCTTGCAAAGACTTTGAGCGCCTCCGGGTTGGCCGAGGCATTGGCCTTTAGGCCTACGTTACCACCAAGAACATACGCTCCCGTGGCATAAGATTTCGAAGTTGGGAGAGGTGCATCGGCACCCCTCTTCAAGGCATCCGAAGGAAGACCATCGAAGACTCGCAGAACATCGGTGGCACTCACATGACCCTCGTCAAGTGTAGAGCCCGCTGTGCGGCTCCGGGACTCCGCCCCGTCACGGGGCTTCGGGGACCTGCTGCGTGCGGCCTCCACCACACCTGGTGATGGCCTGGCGATGGCACTGTGAGAGCCAACGTTGTGCACGTGATGATCCTCTCATCCTCTCGATCAACACCTGATTCCGGACGACAATCCACTCCACTCGGAGGAGAGCCGCCCGCGCATGCATTGCTCGGCCGATGAACTCCCTCTCGGAGATCATCCACCTGTGCTGTCCTCGCTGCCGGCTGATGCACACTCTCTGGAGCACCGGCCGCCTGCGAAGCACCCTCGAGACCAGCTAGTCACGAGCCACCTTGAGCCCGCTTTGGGCACTGCGCTGCACCATGGTTATGAGCACCGCACTTCACAGATGTGCAAGCCCTTCTCGCACTTCTGCCCCTTCGTCGAGCAGCCTCCCAGGTTGAAGGCAAAGCAGATTGGGTCCCCACGATTTGTGTGGGACCTGCAGCCTTCCAAGCCGGCGGGCAACCTTGTCATGAACCTCTGCTTACCTTTCTTTCCTTTGCCCCCACCTTTGGTGTAAGGAGATGGCCTCTCCCACTTGGGAGCATCCGGCTTCTGGGGAACATCCTTTAGGGCAGGGGCCGGAAAAGGTTGCAATAAGCACGACACTTCGTTCATGTACATCGCATCTGGCAGAAGTGTGTCCAACGGGCGACCCGATGCGACGGTCTGCACTCCTGCCCTGGTCTTATCACGAAGCTCGGCAAACAGCTGCCGATCCGCCGACTCAAGCTGCTTCCAAGTGGGCCTGACAAAATGCTCCGCAGGCGTCTGCATGCGAGCCTTCATCAAGCGCTGAGTCCATTGGTCGGAGACACTGAAATCGATCAGGTTCGCCTGATCCATGGCCAGAGACCTCCTCGTGAGGGCCTGCTGAACAAGAATCTCTGATGAAGTATCCGCAACCAAGTCAGGCTGCTTATGCTCAATCCGAAGCTTGCCAGAGGACTCTTCGACCGTGAACCTAACATCTCGCTTCTTCTCGCCAGCCAATTCAGCTTCCTTTGACACACACCGGTCCCACGGAATGTACCTGAGCTCATTCGCCTCGTAGGAGGCCACAGCAAGGTCGACAAGTGCATCGGCAGGCTCCAGAGGCCCCTTTAGCGAAATTCCGACAAGCTTCTTTGCCTGCCGCTCGTAACGCTCAGACCTCTCAGGCTGCGACAATGGCCTGACAGTCGACTCGGGATCGGCCTTCTCGATCCGCTGCTTCATTTCCGCGGTCACAATGGCATAAGCCTCATTGTACACCGCACGCCAATTGGCCTTGTCTGCGATTGTCAGATCTCGTTTCAAGATATCCTTCAACACCCGCATCAAAGGCTCCTCGTCTGTCTGGCCAGGGGTGAAAGAAGAAATGAAAGCCAGCCTCCTCAAGTTTCCCACCTCAGGCAGAATTTTCAGGACATCTCCATCCGCGAAACCCACGACGCTCAATCGTGACTGCAGAACCGATTGGCTCTCAGAGTAGTTCGCCATCTTCAGGAGAAGGACCCGGCTAGCAATCCACTTAAAGTCACATGAAGTATGTCAGCATGTTCTAATGCATTCACAGTGCGATGCGTGAGCTGGACTCCGGCCGACCAGTGTTAGCGCAGACTCTAAAAGACTGAGCCGACTCCTCGGAACAACGATGCCCCGTTCTAGTGCACATCACTCTCGACCCTCGCATTCACTCAAGCTATCGCATCACTCAGCTCAAGAATCACGCTCCAGACACTCAGAAATCCCTTCTTTTCTACGGCACCTCCTCGGCATCACTTCTTAGGTGGACAGCAGCTCCTACACAACGGAAACAAAATTCGCGGGACGGAAGACAGCCTTGCATACCTGGTTGAGATGCTCCTGCCACATCTGAACTTGTCGCCCTCCTCGGACACGACTGCATGAATGAAACGGCTGTCTTTATTCCTGAACAAAGGGACTGCCTCAAGCTCGGCCCGCAAGCCTGCATCGGGCTCCCATTGCCTCCCCAACTCATCGGCAGCGGCCTCCGCAGCTTCATGATCGACATCCTCGGCATCCTCGCTGGCCTCGGAAGAAGAATCCGAAAGAACCTCGTCAGGAGGAATGGGTATCCCCTCCGGCTCTCCAAAGCGCTTCACGAAGTAGCCGGACCTGGTGGCATCCGGCATGAACCTTTCGCGTGACACTTCGAGCAGGACCTCTTGCAGCCGGCGCACAGGAGCAGACATGTTGTCTCTCCCATAGATGATCTCGGTTCCATCACGGCCCCTGGCGTGATAACCAAGGGCCGCTCTCACCTCGCGGGCTAATCCGAATTTGGCGCTCCAACTCAAGGTCGTCGCCTTGAGACTGTGCGTCCCAAGCGATTCGACGGAAGACCTGTCGCATCCTGCACGGATCAAGAGTGACTTCATCCATTTCGTGGCACTTGCCACCGCCAAAGGCGCCGTTTGCCACCCTCCTCCAGAGAGCGGACTCGGAAGCAAGGGTTTACCCGTCCCCAAAGGAGGCCCATGCACTTTATAGAACTCAAACCACTTAACACCCCAGGGCACCTCGCCTATTCCCTGGATGGGAGCGAACATGTGCAAATGCCTGACCTTTCTTTCAAGTGAAAAACAATGGCTTCCAACTTGCGCACATGATCAACTTTAAGAGCTGGCTTCTGTCGAGTCTTTCTCTTGTCAAGATATAGCTTCGACGACAGCCCACGGACCCTGGGGCTAAAGACTTCATCGCTCACCTTCAAGCTCACAGTGAACTTTGCAAAAGCGAGGCTACTCAAGAAGCTCCTTGCGAAAGTGGGCGCCTCGTGTGATGCATAGTCTTGAAGGAAAGCATAGACCCCGGCTTCGGTGACAGGGAAAGGATTGACCTGGTGACCTCGGCAATGCTTGACGTACCTGGCTAGAGGCCCGGCACGGCCCGAGATTGTGACGCTCGCCTTCTGAGAAAACACATCTTGCAATGAAGACTTCAAGTCGGCATCTCGTCCATTTTCCCGGTCTAACCGAATCGACAAAGTCAAACCAAAATCCTCGGGGAACCTCTCAAGAATCCCAAGCCACTTTGCCAAAGCCGCCTCCCTTGCTTCGGAGAGTTTTTGATCCCAGCTCTGCCCCGGTGCATTCGGGACCCTCACTCCTGCAAGCCTGAGTGATTCAAGCTTTCCTGAAGACGACTTAACCGGCCCTGCAGGGACGGCCGGCCCCACAGGCATTGACACTATGCTCCCACCTTTGGCGAAAGGTGAAGGCAAAGCAGGCATGTCAAGAAAAGCAGAAGATACTTCCCACGGCATCCTGACTGCGTTTCCAATCCCTCGGGATGCCACACGAGTCGATGACACACAGTGACTCTCATAAGCCCCAAGCACACGAGCCCTCTTGAGGCTGCTTTCAAGAGAGTCACCTCCCGACATGCTGGCTGCAGATCGGCCTTGTCAAGCCAGCATGGCCAACGCTACTCCCCACTTCTACAAAAATTTCCGGCCCTTTGGCCAGGGAGCAGCTACCCACCCATCCCACCCCTGTCTCGAGGCGGCGCGGGAAATAAAAGAGATGAACTCAGACGATTCAAAGCATGCATTCATGCCATGAAATGTGGTTCAAAATAAAGCAAAGGCGTTTTGAAAACTTCGCAATAATTTTCAAAACTCTCCTAGGAAAATAAAGCTAGTAGAGGCAAGCCTCATGTGTCGCATATTGCTGTATATATTCCCAGCCATGGCAAAAGCGGTGCTGCTTCAGAAGCTGGACCCCAAGGGCAACAAAGGTGCATGGATCAGGGTCCAGGACGGGGAGCCTCCGAGATCCAGGGACGAGTTGTTGTACGAGTTTGCCTGCTACGTGCTGGAGGGCCACCACGAACTTGCCAACCGGTTCTACAAGTACGAACTGTTCTCCGTAACCGTTGTGTTTAGGAAGGGCGCTGTGAGCGAAGTTTACAAAACTCAGTTTCCTCATCAGAAATTTTATTGCCCAGAAGATATATTGGGCAAACGGAAATATCGGCGAAGGTATAAATGCACCGACGGTATCCCCGAAGAATATATGGGGTATAAATTCTCATATCTTGCTTTCGCCTCTTGGGACTCCAATCAAATGTATCCTCGCCACTTAATGAGAATATCTAAAGAGATAGCGACTGCCGAAAGGAGCACGCAGGATGTTTTCAAACGGATGGCGGCAGGCTCACGCAGGCATCTAATTCTTGAACAGGTCTTTGACGTGTCGGAAAGGCGCACCTGTGTGCCTGTGCCCCCCCTTCCGCAGGCCGGCACGTCACCAAGGAGACTTCTCTCTCTTTCTCTTGCCTCTGAAGCGTGGCCTGCCACCGACCGTGTCGCGAATGGAATCCACTTCACGGGTGCTCAGCTGTGCACGCCTGGCTTCGTAAAGAGTGTGAAGAAAGGAAAGCGGCAATTCGGAGTACTGCACTGGGACCCGCAACTCCTCAGAGAAACGGTCGAAGATTTCGTTGGTTAAATCATCGGCTTCCTGATTTTCATCCCGGGGACGCCATCCCAAGTTCAACCGCAAGCCGGCCTTCATGAGAACATGGGTGAGCTGCATGTTCACCATGAGCAAGGGCCAGCGCGTTGTAGAACCCTTGCGAGTCAAGCCCTCGTTAGACTTATTATCCGTCTGGGCTAAAACCTCAACCTTCATCAAACGCCTAGTTGGCCCGGCTTCAAGGTGACCGAAGATGTGCAGTGCGGCCAGCGTGGCCAGCAATTCAGCCGATGCCGAAGCCCACTGACTGTGACCTTCTGAGTCAAAGAGGTAAGGGGCCTCTGAGGGAGTAAGTCGAAGTGAGAACCACCTGGACTCCTGAGTTGTGCCTGCGCAATCCCAACCCCCAAGGACCACGTACCCGTCCGCACACTTTGCATCAGTGCGAAAGGCCACGCCTGCTCTCTTGACCGATCTTGCTGCGGCGACCTTGAACGTCATGTCCCTGAACGTGAGGTCAAGATATTCAAGAGTAAGGATGACGGTATCGGGCATCCGAGCGACTGAACTGTCGTTCACCGCTGCCCTCCAGCTGTAAAGCGGTGCAAGGTGTGCCTTAAGCCAAACCAAAAGCCGAGCAACGAAGCCCAGTCTCCCTAAGAACTCAGCAAACCTGCGAACCGACACAACAAACTTCGAGGACCGAGCCTCAGCGATCCATTTCAAGAGCCACTGGCCCCGCGATTCCGAAATTCCAACCCTCTGGTCTGGATAAGAAAGTTCGTAACCCACAAAAGCCGAAGTGAGCCCACCGCGGAACTTCTTGTATGCGAAAGGTGTGCCAAACATCTCGAAGCATGCTAGCCACATGAGCAAATGATGAAATTTCTCCCTTCCTGCGAAGTTGGCGTGAACATCATCTACGAAGACGAGGTGATAGAACCACAAGGTCAAAAGAAAGCGTGCGGTGCAGCGGCCGATGATTCCGAACAATCTAGACCAAAGGAAGGCGGATGATGATATACCGAACGTTCCTACTTTGTTGTACCAAACGACCGGCGTGTCGTTGCGCACCTTACAGCACAACAAAGGCCAGTCGGCCTCTCTGACAAGGAACAACCTGTGAGCCGCCGTCACATCGCCGGTGAGGCAAAAGGTGGCCTCCTGACTCTGCTTTGCGCTACGCACAAGGTGAACTACTTCCTGGGGTCCGGGATTAGATTGCTGATTAAGTAGCCTAATACCATTGTTGACGTGCACACCGTGGGTGCCATCGTGTAACGGCCGAGCGGAGCCGTCTGGTTTAATCAAGGAACCTAAAGAAGCTATCCTAACCCTATCCCGCCCGTACTTTTGCTCAAGAACCGGCAACGTGGAAGGCGCCATGCGCCCAAGAGCCTCTTCCTCTGCAAACTTCTTCTCAAGCTGATCCGACGTTTCGTTTGCCGACGAATAGTTCTCGCGATGCCACTCGGCATCCGATTCATCGAGCTTGCGGGACTTGTATTTGTACTCGTACACCTGTGGCAAGTGAGGCGCGGGGCAGTCATAACCGATCGCGACCCCGCTGACATAGGAGTCCTCCTGGCAAGAAACGGCTTTCCAATCTGGGTCCTGCAACAGCCGCGCTGTCGCAGACACAGCATGCAAGAAGAATGGCTGGCCACTCGGCACCACATCAAGATCCGTACACTTGCCTCCCGAAGCAGCCTCTATGCAACTAAACCACTCTTTCCTAAGGACCCCTAACATCTCGGGAGTGAAAGGTGATTCCTTAAGGCGGCCTAGCGCAAGCTCCATCGCCGTGCGCCTGATATCAGGCACAACGTCCGCTACAAAGTCTCGAAGCACTTGATGCATGGCAGTGGCGAACTCCAAAGCCTGCTTGGGCAGCAGGCCCCCCCTGGCTTCCGGAGGCCATCTAGTGGGTGAGCAGAGTCCAAAGCCATCCGTGATCGGCTGAGTTTTGCCATCCCACTCGAGGTTCAAAGGCAGCCCGATGTTGTGGCACTCCTGATGCTTGAAGGGCTCCGGTCTTTCGACCTCGCCCCCCTCCAGCACCTCCGAATCATCTGACTGGACCGCCTCAAGATCAACACTGTGCTCTTCGCCCGGAAGGACGAAACCATGCCCGCGAAGAAACGCGAGATCCTCGTCGCATGCCTGAGTATGCTCCGATACACTGAAAGCTATGATGACTAATCTCTTACCTTTCCAGGGCATTGTGAGGTGAAGATCGCGGTAAGCATGTATGTAAGTGGGTGTCTCACTGATCGGAAGAAGGTGACCACTTAAGCGCTTACCGTCAACAATCTGAACAGACTCCCCATCCTGGGCCTCGACCCAGATCTCTCCTCCTACGAAGTCAGTAACCCCTACTATCCCATTGGGCAAAGGTGCGTTCCTGGAGTCTTTGTGGGGCTTGGTGCCAGTGTTAAGGTAAAGGCTAATCGTGGTAAAGGGGTGCCCGGGCATGTTGCTACGCACGAATGATGCCAATGCTTCAGTGGAGGCCGGGAAGCCTTTGCACGCGGACCTGAGCCCGATCAGGCCTCCACCCTTCCGGTACAAGCCTGTCGAAAAGCTGCTAGGAACCCAATTAGAGGACACCGCCGACCTAGGCGGAGTCTCATGCGGCAGCAGTTTGAAGAGAGCATGAACCTCGGCACGAGTCGGGGCCCTCGATGAAGAAATGATGCGTGCAAACTCCTCGGCTTCAACATGTTTCTTAACCCCCCTAGGTGCTGCCTTCGGCTGCGGTTGCCCCGAAGAGTCTGGCGACGGCAACAAAGTGGAAGGAGGTGCTTCCGACTCGATCAAGCCAACCGCCTCTACCCTATCTGTAACCGCCTCTACCCTATCGGAAACAACCTGATGCAGACCCTGCGGCACTTCACATAAATCCTGATGCACCTCCTGCGTCGCCTCGTGGGATTCCTGCATTGGACCTGCCTCACCTGGAACGAAGCTGTGCGGCGCTGACCCAAGTCCCCCTTGCGAAGCGGAAGCAAGCACAGCATGCGCAAGCCACTCACACAACAGAGGAGGATAGGCTGCTGATGATTCGGTCGCCCAGCGGGTGCCTTCTCGGCCTGCAAGTACTTTGTCGTGTTTCCCGTGCGGGCAACGTGGCGGCAACGGCCCCACGTAGCGATCGCTGGAGTCGAAGCGTGGCCATGAAGCAAAAGGCGGAGGCTGCTCGACAAAGGCCTGGAGATTAGTGAGAAGGCGGGTAGGTTTGGAAGTGGGAGCCTCAAAGCTGCATTGAAAGAATGCAAAAGTGATGGCCTGAGTGGAAACCTGGAGCTCACGCAGAGCTGGTAGTTGCCAAACGGAAGCCGGTAACTCGTGATCCGGCGTCGCGCCGAGATCCTCCGGGTGCTCCAGGATATACTGCCATGCAAGTTGACAGGCCGTCACGGTCTGATCAAGAAAATAATTAGCCTGCTCCACCTGCTGCGCGTGCAAATTGCTTAACCATGGAAAACCTCTAGGATAAAATGCTGAACGTAGTGGCTTTGGCCCGGGGTGGCGATGCCGGACTCTGGAAAATGTCTCACAAGGAGGAGAGGCAATGAGGATCCAATCCCCTTCGCCAAGCAACTGAAAGATGTGCTGCCACAAGCCTTCCTTAGTCAAGTCATGCTCGGTGGAGCGCTGAAGATCGAACTGAAGAAGGTTAGTGACATTGCCCAAAGACTGAAGGTAAGAGCCCACATCACCTTTGCGATGGGGCCCCGCGAAAATGTAGAGCACACGAAGCCCGCTCGGACTGTACAGCTGAGGCTGGTAGGCGATGTGATCTGATGTTTCAATGGTAGAAACCGAATCATGCGATAGTCACTCCTTGGGCTTGCCGGATAACCTCAACTTGTTGACGGTCCTGTCTTGTTTCGGCTTACCTCCTTGAACCCCCCCCTCTGTGTGTGTGTGTGTGGGTGGATGGGCACTTGGTGCGTCGACAGTGACAAAACAAAACATTACGAGGAATCCCTCTAATTGTAGTTATGATAAAGAAAGAATTTATGTTTTATGTTTTCTTTTCATGTTTCCTTTTTCACAGTTCCATGTTTGCTTTTACGTACACTCTGGAATGCGGAAGATTGTTGCAAAACATGGGCAGCATTGTGCTCAAGGAGCACAAAATTTTGTTTCAGTAGGGGTGGCTCTCGGGCTGTCGACTCAATGGACGTCTCTCTGGCTGTCAGCGATTCCGAATCTGTGTGTGACGCCACGACTCCTGCAGGGAACGCTGATGATGGCACAGAGGATGTTGCAGTGGAGCCTGAGCCGCCTCTTGCGGACCCGACTTTTCATGCTTCGCTTCGTGATCTTCAGGACTTGGAGGTTCGTGTGGGCTCTCGATTGTCACCGGTGGCAGATGACGTCGCGGGCCTCCTGTACCAGGTTCAGCGCCTTAGCGATCAGTTTGTGGCTCTCCGAACCGCTGTGATGTCTCGCTTAACCAGCCTGGAAGATCGCATGTCCGAGACCGAGCAGGCCATAGGCGAAGTCGCTCAAGCCGTCACTCGCTTGTCTCTGCAAACTGGCGACGCATGAGGTCCATTCTTGTTTCCCAGGTCTGCAAGGCCAGGGAAGCTCGCTTAGGCTTGTTCACGCCCAAGTGAGTGCTGAGATAGGTTCGCTTCCGTTGCTTCAAGACAGGCCTTTTGCCATGCTTGACAGATAATTTGCAGTGTCGCAGTGATTCCAATCTGGGCCGCACTGGTCCATACCTCAGATTGCTTCACTTCATGTCTGTTGTCTGCCTCGCATTGGCGCCTGGTTTTGCAGATTTCGTCACGTAGATGCTGGCGACGTCCAGCTGACTGTGCAACCCTCAGACCGGGCGAAAAACTGCGGCCCGCACAGACCCTGGACATGAGTTGCATCAGTGAGTGCTTTGTGCAGTGGTGGTACCTCTACTTGCCATGTGCACTTTGCAGTCGACTTGCATGCAACTTCCCTGTGTTCGGGCGCTGTTTGTGCCGCTTACTTTTCCGAGTTTGCGCAGTGCATGCATCTGGCTGCGAGCGCTTTTAGGGCATTGCAGGTTAGCTGCAGATTTTTGGCATGTACACGTCATTTTGCATGGTTGCTGCATGGCACTCATGTTTCTGAAGTGAGCTTCGACTCTGCGGCATCACTTTCGGTGTGCTGCTTCAGATCTGCTGAACTTGCCGCGATTGCAGGTTTTGTGGCTCCTTCTGCTAGAAGGGAGAGATCAGGAGCAGACCACTTGACGGCTAGGGAACAGTGTCGCTCCTCATGGAAACGACCTTGACCCGTCGAGCAGTCTGGATCCATGAAAGCTTCGAGTTGCATCGGCCTCATGTCTCATTCCGCACCGCTGAGTTTGCTCATCGTGCCGCTTTTGAAAAATTTCGTGAAAACCTCCAGAAATCCCAGGAGCCGTTGGCCGAACAATTGAACCGAGAGGCCTGGGCTCGTCATGACATTTGCGAGGATGATGCTGCTTCTCTGACGCCTTCGGAGTCTGGAGATGCCGGTGAGGAAAGGGCTCCTCATATCATCTTTGCTAGTCTTTCGGATGAACGCAAGGAGGCTTTGGCTGCCGGGTGCAGCCTGACAGCACCGACGCGAATCATGCATCGCGCTCCTTCTGGGCGCAAGCGCCCGGCGAGCTCCTCCAATTCGGACCGAGGCCATGGTCATTGGCTGCGCGGCCTCAGTGGCCGTCTTGATGACGTCGAGGGCTTCTGTGGGTCAATCATCGACAATAATTTCTCTCGCAGCCTTCATGCTCGCCTCCTCCGTGTGGAGCGACTGCTGAGTGTGCCCGAACCTTCTAATCCATTAGGGCATTCTCCGTGAGATGCATGCAGCTAGCAAACCAGCACTGGTGCCGCCTGCCATGAGAAATCTTCAGAACTGCTTGTCTGCAGGAACACTTGTGCTTCTATCAGCGTCGTGCCTGTGCCTGTCAGGTCTTGACGGTTTCTAGCCGTTTGCAGGATCCTAGACCTCCATAGCGTGCCGAGGGCACTCTGCATTCGCGCTCCGCAAGGTGCGCCTGCCTGTGCTCTCCCGCTTGCTGTGCAACTTCAAGTTCTTGCAAATTGCCGAAAAGTGGGGCTTAAGTTCTAGGCATTAGGGTAATGGAGTTGCTGCGTGCCGAGCAGCATCAGAAGAAGAGACCCAAGCATGCTTGGGAGCAGGAGCCTCGGGGCATTGCGACCTTTACATCGGTCTCGATGGGGGCCTCATTCAAGTTGGGCCGTTCTGAGCACATGCTTTGGGAGCTCAGGGCTCAGCAAGGATTGAAGCAGGTTGATGCGATCGAGAATGTGAAACTTCCAGTGCTCCCATACGCAGCTAGGAGGGCGAAGATGATGGATTGGCCTGAGATAGCTGATGATATGAAGAGGAAGTCGTTGCACCTTGTTAGGATCATGGTGGAGTCTGATTTCCACGCCACGAAGCTCGGGACCATGCTTTACGAGCTTAGCGGGAGCCTCGACAAGGAACCTCAGATCCAAAGGACCATCGAGCTCACCTTTGCCAAGAAGGCCGCTGCTACCCTGCATAAAAGGACTCTGGCATTTTGCTTTTACGTACACTCTGGAATGCGGAAGATTGTTGCAAAACATGGGCAGCATTGTGCTCAAGGAGCACAAAATTTTGTTTCACCCGCCCGCCCTCCCGGGAGAGAGACTGTGGCAGTGATCGGTATGCCTTCGTGCGACCATCATGTACCGCCTTCGTGCGGGTGTGTGTGCATTCGCTACCTTTGGTCTCTTGTGATTCCCGTCGCGTGGCATTCGAAGTTGGGCAGCAGCATCATCCCCTTTTGCGATCAAAATGAAGACGGTCCGAGTGATTGAGGCAATTTGATATGCTTTGAAAATATTCGATGTCCCATATATCAATTGGGAAATACTGACTTGATTGCGAAGTAGATTGAACCACGACCTTCGCGGCGCATCTATGCGCAAGTGCATCATGGTGTATGTTGTGTTGGTGTTGGGGTTCAAGAGTAAGCCAACAAGACGGTCTTAAGCTTGTGCTCGGTCGCTGAGTGGGGCTGATAACAGCCCTTGACCCGGCACACGTGCAAGCGTTCGCATGATGGATTGGTGCAGCCCTGCGAGTTGAATGCAAAGCATATGTCGCGGCCCTCCGGCGTGCGCCAAACCAACTGAAGGCCCTTAAGTGCCGGGTCCGAGGGGCTTTTGCCGTTCTTGCCCCCCTTGGAGTCTTTGCCCTTGCCGCCCTTTCCTGTCTTGCCTCCGTCCTTGCCGTCCTTGCTCTTGCCCTTGCCTTTGTGCCACTTGCGTGGTCGCTCAATGATGGACAATGCGAGCGGCGTCGTGAAGTAGGTCTCCTTAAGCTCCGCTGAAGAAATGACTGAAGCCAGAGCGCCTGCCAGAGTATAACCCTGATCATTGACCAGACGGAAAGCCTCCTTGCGCAACCGGTGCTCATAGGCCAAGACTACTTCCCAAGGAGGCGAAAGTGAAGGCACATCGGCTGGCTGATGAGACGTAGGCACTGAGAGCTGGGCGACCTTTTCGCCAAGGATGTAGTTCACGAAGTGGTCGAAGTCAGACAGCTTGAGATCCTGAAGCCACTGCTTGGATTTAAAGCGGGATGCCATGCATAGCCATGTGAAAGCTTCCACGCGAAGGACCTTGCGATAAGCTTCTGTAGTAGTCGGGAGCTCACTCTTGGATTTGTGCTGAGTAATATGAATTCGCCCCGAAGCGTCAAGGCTGGACTGGATGCTCGTGGTGAGCGTGTTCTTCTTCGAAGTTATGGCATCCAAGGTTGAAGCCTGAGGCTCATTGGCTTCGCACTCCTCGCACTTGAGAGCGAGGTACTCAGACGATGGAGTCTCCGACTCTCCCAGCTGCCCGTGAACGGCCGCTACCGCCTTGAGCATTGCTTGCCTCTCTGTGACTTGCAAGATTCGCGGCTGGCCTAACACTTTCGCCTCTGCTCGCGTTTCCGTCTCTTTGCTGATTACGTCGCGCGCAAGTTCCCATGCAGCGACGACCCCCGCGATTTGTTGTCGCCCATCTGCAGCCCCATCATCCAAACCAAAGTCCGCCTTCCCAGCAGCCCGAGCTTCCGGCCGGGAATCGGCGATTGCCTGGAATCGCCTAAGTGTTGTATGTCGTTGCACAATGCGATACTGGGCATCCAGAGACAAGCCAGCTTCTCCGAGCACAAACTGCAAGTCGCTATCTGCTTTGGTTATGAGCTCGCGCTTCTCGGCATCTGTGGCGGCCATTGCGACAACAGTAACTAACTCCAGCTACTCCTGATGCGAAGGCCGCGCTCCCGCCTGTGGCCCTGTAGGACTTGGATTGCTAGCCGCCCTGAGGCCTTTAGCTGCACTGCGATGTGTCCGCCCGTCGCCCTGAGGCCTGTGACAGGATGCGGAATCCGTCGGCACCTCACGGCCTGCGCCGAGTGAGACTTCCTCCTGCTTGAACAGCGCCAGCACGTGCACTTAATCAGCATGAACTGTTATCGCGGATCAACTTCAAGGCGCCCTGAGAAATGTCAGCATGGACTGTTATCGTGGATCTACTTCAAGGCGCCCTTGCATAAGCAACTCATGCCAACTTCTGGCTAGGACTTGCAGGGCACAGCCTATACACAGCAGTCGAAAGCATCTTTTGCCTTCACATCGACTCGCTCCCACTGTCACTGCTGGAGGGGTCTGATTCCTCCTCTCCGGCCTGAGCCTTCATTCTTGCTTTGCAATCTTTGCAAATGTTATCGACGTCCTCCGCGCCGACATGATTGACAAATTTTACATCGTAACAATTCTCAGGCTTGACATAGCAACCCAACATGTGCAAACGCCTCAGGCCTGTGGTGCGAGAGGTAACGATGAAGTAATCCCCCCGGCTGCCTGGCATCGAGACCTGCTCGACTGGAGAAGGTGGTGCCGCAACACCCACTTCCAATGCCAGAGTTGGCCACGATCCGCCCAAGCCTTTGGATCCCTCGAGGAGGGTGTGACGGCGACGAACCTGAGATTCGCTCTCCCCCGCCTTAGCTGCATAGTCCGTCAAAGCCTTGATGGAATCCACCTCGATGTAGTGCTTAGGCTGTCCGGTGACAAGAGAACAAGCAATGTGACTCTGGAGACGATGCACAACCTGCCTAGAAGTGCGAATGTAGGTTGCAGAACCTTCGCCACCTACCTTCCAGCGACCCAGATAATCAAGCTCCCTGGGGTCGACATCGATGGCCGCTCCGACCGAGCTAAGGAAGTTCCTCGCAGAATGGCCCGTAAAGTGACTGGAAGTGTATCCTGGGAGCAGCGGACGCTGATCATTGGCCTTCCAGGTGCGCCCCTCACGCTTGGGCGTCTTCAACTCACTGAGAACTTTGCGGAAGTAAAGGGCCACCGTGGAGGAAGGCACCGACTTCTCAAGGGGTTCCGTGAAACCTTCATTGGCCTTCAAAACCAAATAATCCCTCTCAAAATCGAAATCCTTCCAAAGTGCATATCCGGCCTTCAGCCAGTCATGCCCTGTCAGAGAGATACTCCGTTCCACGAAGACCTTGACGGTGTGGGTCCTTTTGTCGGGCCCTGTAGTCTTGGACCGCGCGAGATCAATGCTAAGCCCTCGCTCGTCCAGAAGCATGGTCTGCGGCAAGAGCCCCTGAACATCATCAGCCCGAAGTGACCCCCAAACCATCAATAAGCATACAAAGCCCAATGCTCTCAAGTAACTAGGCTCCCCAGGCGTGCAGACGAAGATCTCACATGCGAGGACGATAGCAACGGTGAGCATGCTGGCTGGCTGCTCCGGCGGTGCCGCCGAAATCAAATCGGCTGTGTAACTTTTGAGCTGCGCCTGCCATGTGGGATCCTGAGATATCTGCTGCGTAGACGGCACGCGCCCTACACCTTCAATTACACTGAGAGAGGCTTGCAGGCTTTCGAGGACTGTCTTTCCACATCCTTCCTGGAATCGTTCATTGGCATAGTCTAGCACATCAGCTACCCCTTCCGGATAGCTTCTGCCACGGCTATAAAGCAACCATTCCCGAAACTTATCCCAAGCCCTAAAGCGATTCCTCAATGTCTTGGAGCGACGGGTCCCGAACAGCCGTGGCCAGGCTTCCTCGGCATTGCTGACCCCTGCAAGCACCTTGCACACCGGCAGTTGCGCCTCCTGCATGATGGCTGCAAGACGCAATGCATACTCCTGCCGAAGTCGTATCTCTTCAGTGGCCCTGGCACCGCGATCTACGACCCTATCAGTAGCTAACTTCCGCTTGCGAAGAACCGGAAGCAACGCAAGTGGACTCTGAAGTGCGATCTGATTGTAATGCTCATGCAAGCTAAGGCCAGTTCCCGGGACACTGGGCAAGCACTCTGTCAAGCGCCTCCTTGCTTCCCTGCGCCCACTCGCAACTGTGCGGGCATTGTCTGCATGCCATTCAAGAAGTGCATCCGCAATCAACTGCAGGCTACTTTCAAGAAGCGTGTTATCGCAAGCCCTAAGCAATGATACAAGCTCTTCCCTCGTGTCGAAGGAGGCAAACAATTTCTCAGGCGTGCTAAACCACTCTTCAAGGCGGTTGCGGTATGGTGGCACTAAAGCGGGCCATCCCAGTCCTGTGCCACTCATGGCCGACCATGGGCCGCAGGGCCACCCTTCTACCGCTTTCGTAGTCCTAAAGTATGGAGCTACCGTGAAGCTAAGCTGTCCAGTCATGCGTCACAACGATGCTTGTGAATGCTAGCCCCATAGAAATCAAAATTTTCTCTGCTCCTGAGCCTGAGCTCTGCGTCCATGATAAGCATTGAGATTGTGCGCGCACTCAGCTTCTGGCTCAATTCTGAAAAGCGCACGATACGTAAAATAAAATAGAAACTCAAAACTGCTAAATAAAACTTTTCTCTTTGAAACTGCGGAGATCTTCGAGTTGGTCTAATCAAGGGAACTCCTCCTACCCACAGAGACACCCCGCCCCGCCCACCCAAAACGTTTACTCTAAACAGCGCCGCCGGGCAAGCCCGGCTAGGCGAAGTGTGGTTTGTCGTGGAAGCTGTCCTTGAAGACGTCGCCCTGGACAAGGATGCCAAGGCAGTGAGAGTGTGGGATGTAGAAAAGCAGCAGCACGTCTCTTTGGCTTTCAAGTATGAGAGCTCCGAACTCGATTGCTTGGACTGAAAAAAAGCGGCCTCGTGCATACATGCAGTCTGCCCTGCATGCACATGGTTTTCATCCTTTAATAAATTGTAGGTAAAGGAGCCGGTCGCTCCTGCAAGTTACAGTAATCTATATATAGGAGCAATTGCTCCTCGACCATTATGCTGAAGAATATAGTCCTACAGATTTTTGTAGTGTTTCGGTACTGCAGCGAGATCGCTTGCCGGAACATGTGCTTTCATGCATTCTCGAGCATGCCATGCAGATTTTGGCTCAAGTCGCGATTTAGAGTCCAAGCTATATACTATTATAGTCGAACCCGGCCATGCCTGCTGAGCGAGAATTGGGCTCTAAGAACATCCAAGACATCATCTGCGAGCTGGCAGATCTCATCGGGGAACGGAAAGAAAGAATCGCCGGTGCAGTTTCGATCATCTGCGACAACAAGATGTGCCTGCACTGCAGTCGGATCTACCTAGTGGAATGGCTGAGCGAGAAAGATGTACAGGCCTACGACATGGTTTTCCGTCCACAGCACTTTTGTAAGTGCGAAGAGTGATGCCGATCGAGTCGTGCGAGCGACAAAAAAATCTCTTGCATGGGATCGATTTGACACATAATTGTATGTATGTATGCATGTTCATGCATGCATGTATACACATATATATGCGTATGTATATATATATATATATATATATATATGTATGTATGTATGTATATACATATATATATATATATATATACCAGCGCCCTATACCAGCGCCCTTATCAGCGTTCAAATGCCAGAGTACGTATGTCTACCAGCGCCCTGTGAAAGCGCCTGATAACATCTATCACCCACTGCTATACCAGCGTCGATGCTCTGGGAAGCCCCCCTTTAAGCCCCCCTTAAGCTCTTTTGGCTTGACTGGGCCTCGTCGACTACGGCTGTAGCACTCGGTCCCTACAAACAAGCGAAACTACAATCCAAGCATCAAACTACAACAATGCGGTGAAACAGCAAAGCGAAGCTCTACAAAGGGCTGCGGCGCACAGGCTTTGCCGGTGTTAGCCGTTCAGCACAGACTACGGAGCCTCAGCGACCGGTCACGAGCAACAAAGAGCCGTCGCTCAGAGCTGCCCAAAACAACAGGTGGAGCCAAGTCCAGGCTCCGGTTGCCGTTCTAGTCTCGCCCGACAACGGACAACCCCTGTGTTTTGTTCCGTCACGATCGTGCACACCAAAATCCAAAAGTCCAAGGCCCACTGCATGCGTGGGCGGCTTCCTGATAAGGAGTGCGAAGACCAGTGCCGCAGGCAAGCAACCCGCTCATGCAACCGCCGTCATTGGACACACACCCCAAGAGGACAAAGACAATCGACCCTTGGCGTGTCAAGCGCCTAGACGCCGCTCTGATGCGACACTGGCAACCTGCGTGGGCCACACCCTCACGGGCATACTGCCGGCGTCGTGCAAGTGACAAGGTTGCACGACCACGACACGCTAGTGCGCATGGCCGCCGTCGCCAGCAGAATCAAATCAATGTCCCTAGCCGTGAGCTGGAACACTGGGTCAGCCGCTAAGACAGGCAGAGATCACCAAGGCGGACATTGACGTGCAGGTCACACGCTTCCACAGCATCGTCAAACCGTTGTGGCGGCCATGGCAGCAATTGAAGACACCATTCGGAGGTGGGAACTAACACGATGGACAGGTGAAGGGGCGAGCGACGTATGTCGCAGGCAGGCGGCGAAACTTAGGAGCACACAGCACGCATGTGGGTGAAGGCGCGTGAGTGAAAAATGGCAGGAGCAGGACGTTGCGGTGCGTTACTGTCCCCGTACGGAACGGGGCGTCATCCAAGCCCCAGTGACGTGGCCACCGAGCCCGTCAGCAACCACAGGCAAGCCCACAGCCTGGCCGTGCCTTTCCCGGCGCCCTCAGGGATGAAGGCCTGGTAGCGACCCACACGGGCAGCGTCGTGCAGGGGGTGGCGTTCTCCGCTCGTGGACCATCAGAACGGAACTGCACCCACGCCCAGCGGATCCGCCCCTCAAAGAAGGGCACAGCTGACCCCACGTAGTGCAGCCAGGACCTAGGCGAACGTGACAACGACGGTTCGATGTCCGCCGAGGAGATCAATCCAACGGCCAGGACCACGTAAGCCGTGGCCCAAACTACGAAGCCTCAACAGCCCCTGTGTATCGCGTCTCGAACGTGCACACCAGAGCGCAGGTCCGAGCTGGTCCGAGCTCAAGGTGACGGTGCATCAACTTGGTATCGAGGGCATGAGTGACATGGAGGGTGAAATAGACTCAACGACGTATGTCGTCTGTCGCAACGGCTTCCACAGGGGGAAAGCGATCACAGACAGAGATGAACCGCCTAATCCCATTTGTGCCGTCACAACCAGGGCACCCAGATCCAAAATTCCAAAGCCTGCTGGCAAGCGTGGCCGGCTTCCAAACAGGGGGTGCATCGACATGGTGGCGAGGGCCTGCCTGCCCACGCCGTTTGAGCCCGACCTCGGCTAAGCAATGCTGAAGCCGAGTAAAACCCAATTGCCGCTTGTGCGGAGAGAGAAACAGACGCAACGACGTATGTCGTCGGTCACAATAGCAGCTGATGGAGACTGACTATCAACTAGAAGAGCCAGCCGCCTCTGAGCGCGGCCAACTGTCGAGTAGGCGCTGCATGTCACGACCGCTTGAAGGAAAATGACGCTCCCTTAAGAGATAGAGCAGCTGGTAATTCCTCACTAAGCCCCCCTTAAGCTCCCCTTAAGCCCCCCTTTAAGCCCCCCTTATAAGCCCCCCTTTAAGTCCCCCTTTAAAGCCCCCTTAAGGCCCCCTTTAAGCAGCTCCCCTTTAAGCCTCCCACGCAATGACACACACACACACACAAAACAAGAAGAAGAAGCCATACGAAATCATTTTATGGTGGTTTTTGCGAAGAAAATAGAATGAGAAAAGCAAACTTAATGAAACAAAACACAATCACAAGCCCCCCACGCAAGCACACACACACACACACACAAAAAAAAAAGAAGAAGCCACACGAAATCGTTTGATGGAGTTTTTGCGAAGAAAATGAAATGAGAAAAGCAGACTTAATGAAACGAAAGAAATGAACACAAACACAAAAGAAGAAGAAGCCACACGAAATCGCTTTTTGGGTGGTTTTGCGAAGAAAATACAATGTAGCACCCATACTTTGAAGGCTTCAAAATCTTCCTTCATCTCCCTCCTTCAAAGCCCCCCCTTCAAGCCCCCTTTAAAGCCCCCCTTTAAAGCCCCCTTCAAAGCCCCTTAAAGCCCCCCTTTAAAGCCCCCTTCAAAGCCCCTTGAAGCCCCCCCTTAAAGCCCCTTTAGCCCCTCTTCAAAGCCCCTTTGTCAAAGCCCCCCTTTGTTTGCGTAAACCTCTAAAGGGGTAGCTCTAACAGGTACCTACAGCAATGGCTGCATGCTCATACATATACATTCCGCTGCCCATTGGCTCACAGTGGTTTTACCATATTGAGACAAGACAAGCTCTCCTTGCGTAGCAAGACAAAACAACTACTGTCCGTGTGCAGGGCGCTGCCCTTTGATCCTTAGGGAATAAACTGGTCATACACCTCCTAACAAGGAGCATTTCCTTGTGGGTGTATCGGCTCAGTTTTCTGGTAGCGGAGCTCGGAAAGGGCCGCCCGCCTCCCAAAGTCCGCTACAGCGGTCGGCCTCGCCGAACGCTTAACCAAGCGGATAAGAGGCAGCACAATGTCGAGCTCGCATAGCGAAGCCGACGACAGTTCCCAATCCTCCGGGGGATATGAGAACGAAGAGACCTCCCAAGGTCCAGCCACTTATGTCGCACAGTCATATGCAACATCTGACCGCATGCTTGCATCATTAGGCATAACGCCCAAGATCGCGCCTGCCTATGATGGCACCACCTCGTGGTTTGAGTATGAACAGTTGATTGACGACTGGTGCGACATAACAACGCTGGATGACACCAAAAGAGGTCCGTCTCTCAAGACGAGGCTCTCCGGATTGGCCGCAGTACAAAAGGAATCACTGAACCGAGAAAGGCTTGCAGCCCCAGATGGAGTAGATTACTTCAAGAAGAAGATGCGTCCATTTTTCGTGAAAGGAGAACAGTACGTTTTCCTGTGGCGTTTCCTCGGCCTATTCAAGGCATGGAAGGGCAACCAAGACTTTGTGACTTGGATTGCCAAGTTTGAGATCGTGCTACAGCGCGTGAAAAACTCATGGATGGATCTCTTACCAGAGATAGCTCTGGAGGATGCCCATCCAGATTTCATGCAAGCTGTGCAGGCAGACCAAACCTTCTTGCGCATGCAGGATGCAGCCGAGAGAGACACATATGCCGCACGCTATTTCGAAACATGGAACAAGGAACGCCTTGACAATCATCGAAGAGCGTTTCCTCTGAACGATAATCTCCTAGCTCTCCTCTTCCTAGTGCAGTCCGACCTAAATGAGATGCAACG